AGGCTGCTTCAGATGAGCAGAGCTAGCCTGGACCAGGAACAGTAACTGTTAATTATGAATTGCTAAGCCCCCCAAGCCCTGAGCTGCCATGTCACCACCCATCCCCCCTGTTCCTGTGTCTGTGGAGGCCAGAGGAGGGTGTAGATTGGCTGACTGAAGCCCAGGGAGGGAAGCATTTGTGAGAACTGGTGCTGAGGGAGCCAGGAGGCTGGGGGAAGGGAGGGAGAGGGAGGATCTGCCTCTAGGGGGCCATAGAGGCAGGCTCACACCTAGAGCACTGTGCTACCCAACCACCAGATGGACACTGCAGGCATTACCAACAGGAGCCAGAATCAGGAAGCACAGCTAGTGCCAAACCACCCCCCGCCCCAGCTCCCCCCCTTCCAGCTCCCTGGAGGCACATGGGGGCTTTCAGGACAGAAAACAAAGGAGGCCCAGGAAACAGGACAAGCAGCTTTAAGCTACTGAAAGGAGCAAAGAGGAGAAAATGTGGCTTCATTCTCCAAACTATGGGAGCTGGAAGGGATCCTGAGAGGCCAACCTCAGCAAGAAAGGGGCAGAGTGGAGCTTGGGTCGGGAGCAATCACAGGGTCAGGAGGGCATAGAGGCAGGATCTAACTCTAACAGGTCTGAGAAAAACACGAAAGGGGCTGGGGACTGCTTCGGCCTGGGTAGGGTGGGGTACCGGGTCACACCTTCCAGGCTCTTAGGTGCTCAAGGCCAGAGAGAAGTCCCACTGCTCGGGAAAGAGGAGACTGCAGCCTGCCCTCCTGGCTGACAGCTGCCCATGACTCAGCACGCAGTGCACACGCCTTCAGGTGAGCCCCGCATAAGCACGCACTGTGAGTCTGTCACTCCCCCAGGGCCCTGCACAGGGGCATCTGGCCGAGGTGCTGCTTCCACTCATACATCTGCCCTCTATTCCTATCACCATGTTCCAATCTAGCACATCCGCCCATTCCCTCCTTCTGCAGGGTCTTGCTCCCTCTACCTCTAGCACAGTGTGTGCCTCCTCGCCTGGACCACCCCTACCCGCTCTTCACCGGCCCTGACAGCCCTCACATCTCAGGCAAGAAATTTCTTCCAGACGCCCCGCGTCTGGGAGGGTCACCCCTTCCATAGCTCTCCCACGGTATCTTGTGCTTTCACTGTCACTGCCTGGTTTCTGGTGGTGCAGATTAAGAACCTCATCCAGCTTCCTATCTGCTCTATTCCCCCAAGCCCTACCCTCACATCTGGTCCGTAGTGACGGATAGAAGAGAAAAAAGGGGAGAAAACCTACATGTCAGCCCACAATGCCTAATATTTGACGAACAGAAGTTCTAGAATGAAAGAAAAAAAATGATGAAAGCAATTAAAAATTTTGCCAGAACTGAAGACAGGAGTCTTCAAATTGAAAGGGGTCATCAAGAATCCAAAATGATACATTTTAAAAGAAATGGCATTGTGGAATTTCAGAAACTAATTTCACAGATAAAGAGAAGATCCTAAATATTTCCAAAGAAAGAAAACAGACCGCAAAGAATCAGGAATGAAACGGCATCAGGTTTTTCAACAGCTATATTGGAACCCAGAAGAAAATAGCGCAATGGTCTTCAAAATCTGAAGGAAAATGATTGTCAACCTAGAATTTTCTCCTCAGCCAAACTGTCAATTAAGGCTGAGTGCAGAATTATAATTTTTCAGACATAAAAAGACTCAAAACTTTCTTCTCATTTACCCTTTTTCTGGAAGCTACTAGAAGAGGTGTTCCGCCAAAATGATGAAATATACCAAGAAAAAGGAAGACCTGGAACTCGGAGGTAGGCCCCAGAAAGAAAAATTTCAGGAAAACAAAAAGAAACTCAAAGACAGAAATCTTCAGATTGAAAGGAGGACTGAATACAGTCATGCATCACTTAACAACAGGGATATGTTCTGAGAAATGCATCATTAGGTGATTTCATCATTGTGCAAACAGCATAGAGCACCCTTATACAAACCTAGATGTGCAAGCCTGCTGCACACCTAAGCTACATGGTAGGTATAGCCTACTGCTCCTGGCTACAAGCCTGGATAGTATGTTACTATACTGAATATATAGGCAACTGTAACACAATGGTGGATATCTGGATATGTAAATATAGTAATGGTTCAATAAAAATATGGCAGAGAAGACAAAAAATGGTCACCTGCATTGGGCACTTACCATGAGTGGAGCTTGCAGGACTAGCAGTTGCTGTGGTGAGTCACTGAGTGTATGATGAGTGAATGTGAAGGCCTAGGACATTACTGTACAGTATTGCAGACTTTATCAACACTGTACACTTAAGCACACTAATATTTTTTAAATAAAAAATTAGCAAGGTGTGGTGGTGTGTACCTATAGTCCCAGTTACTTGGGAGGCTGAGATGGGAGGATAGCTTAAGCCCAAGAGTTTGAGTTTATACTGAGCTACGTCCCCCACTACACTCCAGGCCTGGGTGACAGAGCAAGATCTTGTCTCTTAAAAAAAAATAAAAAAGTATTATTTACTCAATAAAATGACCCTTAGCTTATTGTATCTTTTTTGCTTTATAAAATTTTAACTTTCTGACTCTTTTATAATACTTAGCTTAAAACACAAACACGTTGTACAGCTGTACAAAAACATTTTTTCTTTATGTCCTTATTCTTTATATCCTTATTCTATAAGTTTTCTATTTTAAAATTTTCAACTTTTTTTTTAACTATTTAAACTCTTAAAACTAGCTAAAAACGAAGACACAAACACAGGCCTGCACAGGGTCAGGATTGACAAGACATCTCCAGGCAATAGGAATTTTTCAGTTCCATTATCATCTTTTTTTTTTGAGACAGGGTATCATTCTGTCACCCAGGCCGGAGTGCAGTGGTGTGATCTCTACTCACTGCAACCTACACCTCCCAGGTTCAAGCGATCCTCTCAATGCCCACCTCAGCCTCCCAAGTAGCTGGGATTACAAGCATGCACCACCATACCTGGCTAATTTTTAAATTTTTAGTAGAGATAGGGTTTCATCATGTTAGCCAGGAGGGTCTCGAACTCCTGACCTCAAGTGATCTGCCCGCCTTGGCCTTCCAAAGTGCTGAAATTACAGGCATGAGCCAACCATGCCTGGTCCCCATTATCATCTTATGGGACCACTGTCATATACGTGATCCTTTGTTGACCAAAATGTCATTATGTGGTGCATGACTGTATTGAAAGGCCATGGGAAGGTACAGTGGGAGGTGAGAGATAGTACAAAGCAAAGTATGCCAATGAAAAAATCTGAGGTAGTTATTAACCCCAGATAAAACAAATTTGAAAAAGAGACATAATCATGATACAGCCAGTCTGACTATGCAGTAAATGTTATTTCTATAATTGTAACAACATGAAGACTGAATATGTATAGGCCCCAAAACCATGATAACTATTTCAAGAGTGGGTATGGATGGGGGAAAGAAGTATGTTTAAAGGATTGGATGATAAGAGAGCTGAATCCTCAACTACCATAATAGATAATCCAAAAAAACTAATTGAGAAATAGCAGTGTAGATAAGCATATTCGTCTGAAATATAGAATACAGAATTCTATCTGAAGAACAGCGAAAAGTACTTGCTCCTAGGGAACAGGCCTGAGAACTGGGTAGGGATGGGGAGCATATACTATTTTTCCTTACAAGCACTATTATTTTATTTTATTAATTTTTGAGACAGTTTCACTTTGTTGCCCAGGCTGGAGTGCAATGGTATGATCTCAGCTCACTGCAACCTCCATCTCCCAGGCTCAAGAGATTCTCCTGCCTCAGCCTCCTGAGTAGCTAGGATTAAAGGCACACACCGACACACCAGGGTAATTTCTTTTGTATTTTAGTAGAAACAGGGTTTCACCGTGTTGCCCAAGCTCTTCTCGAACTCCTGAGCTCAGGCAATCTGCCTGCCTCAGCCTCCCCAAGTGCTAGGATTATGGGTGTGAGCCACCATGCCCAGCCCCTTATAAGCATTTTAGTCCTATCTGACTTCTTGAATTATGTACACACGACTTTGAAAATATTTAAATTAATGTTTGAAAAAGTTTTTTTTTTTTTTTTTTTTTTTTGAGACAGAGTCTCACTGTGTCACCAGGTGCCAGGCAGGAGTGCAGTGGCTCAATCTCGGCTCACTGCAACCTCTGCCTCCTGGGTTCAAGCAATTCTCCTACCTCAGCCTCCTGAGTAGTTGGGACTACAGGCGTGTGCCACCACGCCCAGCTAATTTTTGTATTTTTAGTAGAGACGGGGTTTCACCATGTTGGCCAGGATGGTCTCAATCTCTTGACCTTGTGATCCGCCCACCTCGGCCTCCCAAAGTGTGAAAAGTTTTTGAAATAAAGTTTATGAACAAAAAGATAGACTTTGGCACATGAACCATCAGTCTCTGTAATCATTGAGTACTATATTCCCTTACCCCTCCACAAAACAAAACACAATCTTCAACATTTTGGGTATCTCTAATTCAAGTTCCTACATGATAGTAAAAAATAAAACGACAGTATACTAGCCTAATCCTCAATATTCTCCTGGATCCTTCCCACCTTTAACCTGAATTTTTGAACAGTGGTATGCTGGTTTAATAATCTGTTCTCTGGAGAAAAAGTCCTGATTTGTAGCATTTGCCAACTTCTATGGTATAAATACTCCAATCATGGCTGATTTCAAGCTCCCACTGTGTTGTCCCTGAATGTGGAATTGGGAAGAGATGCACAGAGTCAGCTCTCGCAAGCCAGTGCAAGCCAGCCTCATCAAGCCACTGCCTTTGGGCCACCCTAGTCTTTTCAGCCTCCATGTTTCCCACTGGACCTGGAGCACAGGAGAAATTTGGTCATCTCCAAAGAGCTTTTAGTCCACAGCAGTACGTACCAGCAGAAATAGATACTGGAGGAAAGAAGTGGTTCTGGCTGCAGGGAAGGGGTTGTGAATGTATCATTCTCCTTCCCTTCCTCACTGGCCATGCTCCCACCTCCCACAGGGTTACCTGTTCATTGGTGACCCCCGGGCGCAGGGTCCCATGCTTATAGTCCTCCAACAGCTGCACAGCCTCTCTGAGACGTCTCTGCAAAAGAAAGAAAAGAGACATTGAGAGGCACAGATCCAGGGCTCCTGCAAATCTTCCTTTTGCAGGATTACATCAGTATCAAATACTGCTAGCAAAAGGTCTTGGGCCTGCCCTTGGTTCATGGGATACACACAAAATAATAAAGAAATACCACCTAATGTTCTTACTTGGCAGTTTAAAAAGTGAAGTAGAGCGATGTGTGCTTCCATGGTCATCTCTCCAAGATATTTTGTTGAGTGAAAAAGCAAATAGCCCAGCAGTATGATGCTATTTCTTGTACCAAATAAACAATACACACATATAAAACAGTATTTCCTATGTGAACATTTATATGTATATGCCAATGTATCAGAAAAGCCCTAAAAGGAGAGCAACCAACCTGGTGGCTGGGGTTACCTCGGGATAGAAGGAAACGGCCAAGACTTGGCAAGGGGTGTCAGAAGGAACTTTAATCTTAATTAACGTTGAAAGCTTTTAGGCTGGGTGCAGTGGCTCATGCCTGTAATCCCAGCACTTGGGGGCCAAGATAGGCAGATCATGAGGTCAGGAACTCAAGACCAGACTGACTGGTGAAACCCTTGTATCTACTAAAAGTACAAAAATTAGCTGGGTGTGGTGGCACACCCCTGTAACCCCAGCTACTCAGGAGGCTAAGGCAGAAGAATCAGTTGAATCCAGGAGGTGGAGGTTGCAGTGAGCCAAGATCAAACCACTGCTGCACTCCAGCCTGGGCAACAGCGGAAGACTGTCTCAAAAAAAAAGAAAAATAACAGCAAAAACAATAAATAGACAACAGTGATAGAAGGAAGCTCATATCAAGGTCCAGATGAGGGACCCAGACACCAAGGAAGCCCGAATGGGGGAAGAAACTCAGTGAAGTTGCCCTGTTCCCCTTTTGATGGAGAGATGAGACTGGCTAGGCATGGGAGTTCAGAGACTTCAACATAGGCCCCATAGTCTAAAAGAAGAATGCAGTCTCAGGAAGGGCCCTCAGTGGGGCAGGCAGGATTTTCTGAGCTGGCTGACAAGAATGGAAAATGAACAGCCAACCCAGACAAACCAGTGAGGCCACCCACGACCCCTCAGGCCTGCATGTAAAGCACCCGCATGTGAAACGCTGTGGTGGCCAGCACTGGTCTAACCCAGGCCTGGCCCAAGACAGAACTATAGGCAGTCTGGGGGCCAAGAACACTTTTCTTACTTGGAATGGCTTGAAGACTGAAAAGTACTGTGCCTTCCCTTCCAAATATGGAAGGCTCCAGCAGTTCCTAGATTCCAAAGAGCCCCTTCTTCCTAGGTACTGTTCATTTCGAAAGTGGAGATAGCTTTGTAGTTGTTTTTATTTTTTCCCCATTGTACAAGTAATTCACGCTGTTTAAAGAAAATATCAGAAAAAAAACATGAAAAAGTACAAAAAGTAATCTTAAACGTGTAAACACACCCCTGAGATAACCACTCCGAAAGTGAGAATGATTTTCCTTCTAGACATAAAAAGTTTATCAATAAAATTGGATCATGTTATTTGTTTTAACTTGCTTAAGGTCACACAAATAGCAAGAGGATGATTTAGTATTTGAACCGAGTTTAGTCAGACCCCTCTCTGCACACCCTACCACACACCCCCTCAATACCCCTAAAGCCTTCTAGTGATGTGGTGAGGCCCCCACTCTTAAGCCTGCCCCTCCCATCATCTTAGCCTCTGCGGAACTGGACAATGAATGCTCTACTTTCCAATGCTGAATGGTGAATAGCCCCATTTTCTCATTGTTTTTCCCACTCTAGGGATTCTCCTGAGTTCCTATAACAACCTGGCCAGATTCCATCTCACTTGACACAGTCATCAAAGGGAGCCCTCCTGCCAAAGGAATAAAATCCAAAGAGCCCTAATCTTGGTGAAGGGCATGGGTTGAGGAAGAACGAGATCCAAGGTTCCTGCAGACAAATCTGAGGGCCCAGGACTGAAGGAAGCTGGAACCTGCTTTACCACCTCTGAGAGCTACAGGCCTGGCCTTGGACCTTAGGAAACCTCTGTCAAAGGCTGAGGGGCTCGGGCTCCAGGCCTGTGGGACAGGCAAGGCCCCAGGCCCTCTGTCCAGAGAGGGCACTGTGGCCTGGCTGTTCTAGGGACTGGTGCCCCCGCTTCAGAGAAAGGGCCTATATCATGGACATGTGGGGAATGAGAGGTGAGTCTCTCTGTTTAAACCTTTCACATGCCCCTGGACTGTGAGGCTCCACAGAAGGGTCTGAGTATTTGAGGGGTGAGGAAAGGTGGGTGGCAGGGTGAATTCTGCAGGAAATCTTTTCAACCAGGAACAAACAGACACCAGCCCCTGAACACAAAGGCTGTGAGGGATCCAGCTAGGGGGTAGCAGGACACAGCCCAGGATGCTGCTCCCAAACACTATTCCATCGCCAGCCTGCCAGCAAGTTTCACCCTTCGTTTATTTGAGAGGAGGGTGGTCTCCAGAAGATCCCTCTGGAGGGCCTGCACCTGGGAGGTCTGCTCCTGCAGAACAGAATTTGAACAGAGAAGAATCCTGGCCCCACTGGTCCTGCCTCAAGGCCCTGAATGAGGGGGAACGGTGGGAAGAGGGCAGGACACCTCAACGGAGGGAAATGGGGACAGAGGGACAAGGAAGAAAAAGAGGCACAAAAAAAAAAGCTAAGGAAGAGTCATGGGAAGCAAAACTTATCTCTTCTTGGGGACACCAGGCCCTGTTCACATGGGATGTGGATAAGATTACTTCTCTACAGGTCCACATCCTAGAAACATGCGGGCCATTCCCTCTCTGAGAAAACTGGGGCCAAGAGGGAAGAGTACTTCCTTGTCCAAGGTCACAGAGTGGGTGAATGACCTAGAAACCCCAGGAAACCTCATCTCTATTTCCGAGCCATTTCCATGTGCCATCTGCACAGAAGAACCTGCTGTACTCACGCCAGCGACTGTCTCCCAAAGAAACCTCAGCAATACCCAAAGCCCCCCAGAAATCATGGCCTCTGAGGCAGAGCACCCCAAGTGAAAAAACAGCCTCTTTTACTCTCAAAGCTGAGCCCAGCCTAACACAGAAAAAACAGAGAACATGCTTAGAGAGGAGGCAGGTATAGCTGAAACATGGGCCATTTCAGGCAGAGTTTGGGAGCCCAAATGCTTACAGAACTAAAAGACTGTGGGGTGGTATGGGGGTGAGGAATTGGCAGTGGGGCGTGCAGGATGGCAGAGAGGTTATGTTCCACCATGCCTTGATGGTTCAGTAACTGTTCTTACTGGGCCAATCTTGCACCACCAAGGGGAGGGCTGTGCATCCTTACCAAGGCTTGACCATTACTAGTGTCACCTGCAAGCAGTGGGTCTTGAAGGCCAAAGGTAATGGTTATGCACAGGCCAAGTCCCAAGCCTTTCTCCTGTCTTCTCTCAACGATCCCAAATGCCATGTTCCTACCCAGCAGTCCTAGAACCCCCAGGGTTCTACCTGTCTGTGCTGGGATGGGTCCTTGGCTCCCATCAGCCAGGAGCCCACTTTCTGAGAGGCCCAAAGAAGGGGAACCAGAGACACATGGCTTTCCCTGCCCTGACCTCTAGTCACGTTAGGAGGCCAAGTGAGGTAAACTGATGCAGTTCTAGCAGCACGACAGGTTGTGCATCCCTTCAGGAAAGAAACCAATCCACCTATCCCAAGAACTCTGAATATGACCATGGCTTCCAGCCTGGCTACCCTACTCTTGGGAGTTTATTCTAAACAGTAAATTTAGCGAAAACTACAAGTGATATGTTGGCTAGGCGCAGTGACTCATGCCTGTAATCCCAGCACTTTGGGAAGCCAAGGCAGGCTTCCCTGATTACTTGAAGTCAGGAGTTCGAGACCAGCCTGGCCAACATGGTGAAACCCCATATTTACTAAGAATACAAAAGTTAACCAGGTGTGGTGGCACATACCTGTAGTCCCAGCTACTCGGGAGGCTGAGGCAGGAGAGTTGCTTGAACCTGAGAGGTGGAGGCTGCAGTGAACTGAGATTACAACACTACACTCCCGCCTGGGTGATAGAGCGAGCCTCCACCTCAAAAAAAAAAAAAAGTGATATGTCTAAGACTGTTTTGTGCAAGAAAGCAAAAGATAGGAAACAACCTACCTGTTAGACCAAAAAGTGTAATGGGATGATTATTTATGCTACAAAACTTGATTTTTAAAAATAATAAAGACTTGGTATAGTCCCAGCTACTTGTGAGGCTGAGGTGGGAGGATCTCAAGCTTGAGAGGCTAAGGCTGCAGTGAACCATGATTGCTGACATTGTACCCCAATTTTTTTAAAGTTATAAAGCCTTAGAAATGAAAATAATAAAAAAGTACGTGTTCAATGTCATAACTGCCAAAAATGTATGCAGATGGACAAGAACTTGAAGGATACTGACAATGGGTATGTTTTAAATTTAAAAATTCCATTAAATGTTTTAAAGTTACACTATCCAGTGCTGTCTAAAATACATTTTTTTCTTTTTTCTGTTTTAGCTATTTTTCCTTTTCTAGAATACATTTAAATGGACATCCTCACTTGCTGCTATTGGGAGTATAAATATAAAATCTTGGTACAGGTTAGTACAATTTGCAGGACAATGATACGGTTTGGCTGTATCTCCACCAAAATCTCACCTTGAATTGTAATAATCCACACATGTCAAGGGCTGGGCCAGGTGGAGATAACTGAATCATAGAAGCAATTTCCCCCATACTGTTCTCATGGTAGTGAATAAGTCTCATGAGATCTGATGGTTTTATAAATCAGAGTTCCCCTACACAAGCTCTCTTGCCTGCTGCCATGTAAGATGTGACTTTGCTCCTCATTCACTTTCCACCATGACTGTGAGGACTCCCCATGTGGAACTAGGAGTCCATTAAATTTCTTTCCTTCATAATTATCCACTCTTGGAAATGTCTTTATTAGCAGCATGAGAACAGACTAATACAGCAAATTTAGAAATATTATCTAAAGTCTTTCATCTG